TCTCCCGCCACACACACACACACACACACACACACACACACACACACTGTACCCACAGTCTCCAAAGGCAGACATGCCTTCACACAGAATGGAACAAATCATACTCTACTTATGGGCTAAATTCCTCGCCGATATGAGTGCCTCTTGATCTATTGAATTTAATGGAGTTGTGCTTATTTACCTCAGGTGAGGTTTCCAGTGATTGTAACCTGGGTGCCTAGAGATGCAGGTACATTTGTCCCAGGAGGATCACTAGCAGAGTGGGTGCAGTGAGGTACCTCCCTGGTGGTGGGTTTCCCTGACAGAGAGCCACAAGGGCTGTTGCCCTCTGGACACTGAAAGCCGTACACTCTTCTGAACATGGGGTGTGCAGCCTAACCCCACGATCCCCGCTGATTTGAGTTCCCATCTCTGCTTGCTCTGGCACGTTTGCCAACAGATGTTTCCTACACAAAGGAACAACAGCTTTTGGGAAAACCCATGTGCATAAACAACAAATCCCCCAAGGTCAGAGTGACAATCGGGGGTGTCCTAGTGGGGCAACATGATGGCCCTTCCCAGCACTGGATGGGGAGAGGCGGCATGGTCCTGTTGGTGGGTCACTGTGGCCACGGCAGCCACCACATTCACTCCTCGGCAGCAGACCCTGAGCTGAGGGAGAAGAACTGCGTGTGACAGCTACTGCGACCCCCTGCAGGATCTTTGCGGACCAATGTATTAAACCAAGGAACGGCTTCGGTGTGATTGTGTTCTACTCTCTGGGTGAGGGGGACCAGACCTCCTCCTGGAACAACAAAGAGTGTGTTGGGGGGGTGGGGTAATTAAGGCAAGTCACTAAAACAGAACCATTCTAGAGAGGCCCCTGCCCCTGGAGAGGTTTTCATGCACTGGTTTAGGGTTACCATTCGTCCGGATTTACCTGGACATGTCCTCCTTTTTGTGCTAAAAATAGCGTCCGGGGGGAATTTGTAAATCACTCAAAATGTCCGGGATTTCCCCCCTCCTCCGGCAGAGCAGAGCGAGCGGCTGGGAGGGCTGCAGGAAAGTCCTGGGCTGGACTCCGGAGCAGCTGTAGAGGAGCCGGATCCGCCCTGCATTCTGAGCAAGTGTCTCAGCACAAAGTG